CTGTCTGATTTTTGTGATGGAGGTTTTAAACAATTTTATGTGCAAAAGAGTAATATTTGTACAGTCAAAAATACACTTTACAGGAAAAAGTTTCATTCATCTCTTGTTCTGTTTTCTTTAGGTAGGGGCAGTAACGATCAGATTTATGTCTTCGAACGATTATTCTGGAAGGGGCAGGGTTGGGGGGGTGTCATTGTTCTGTGAGTGGTTGTGGATGAGCCCCGAAGCCCAAGTTCCTGTAAATGGCAGGTTTTGCTGACGAAAAGCAGCCAGGGAGATTATGTGTTCCTGGCACTTGTAGTCACAGAGACTCATGTTAATGGGCTTACCAGAAAGGGTTTTTGCGGGGTTCCTGTGACCCAAAGCAAGCTAGCAGTTGATGTAATCAGGACACCACAAAAAATAAATTCTCCCGCCCCCGTACCTCCGTAGCAGTGTTCGTGAGTCTCCTATGACTCATGCTTTCATGCCTTTGAACTTGGAGAAAGTGACCGTGTTTCCAAGGCTGAAGCAGGGCCAGCCTGTGTATCTGCCTCCTCTATAGCCCCTAGCCTGATACTCCAGTGGCCTTGGGGAATCTTTCCAGAGGCTTCTCCTTCATCCCAGAATTGCCCAGGTCTGACCAGACTGGCAACGGAGCACCTAGGAATCAATTCTCAAATTATAGTGCTAGAAAGGGTTGTGGAGGTAGTTGAGTCCAGGGGTTCCCAAACCCGGCCGCACATTCAGATCACCCAGGAGATGAGGGAAAGAGCCCTTTCCATCTCCTTTTGAGTCTAATTCACTGTCCTGTCTGGAACAGGACCCAGAAATCAGTGGGTTTTTTTATACTGTCCAAACGTGGTTCTCAGCATGCTTGCTGCATAGCACTTGGTGACCACTGACCTAGCCTCATAGTTAAACCTTATTTGACTTAAAAATTATATATATAAATCAACTGTGGGACATCTACACAATTCTACTCGGGCATAAAAAAGATGAAAATTGTACTCTTTGTGATAGTGTGGATGGACCTGAAGTACATTATGCTAAGTAAATAAACCAGTCAGAGAAAGACAAATACCAGATTTCACTCGTATGTGGAATCTAATGAATGAACTGAGCTAACAAGCAAAACAGGGACAGACTCAGTGATGGAGAGCAGATGACAGCTAGTTGGGGGGGCAGTAGGGTAGGGGGTGGAGGGACTGAGCAAAAAAGGAAGAAAGATTCATGAACATGGACCACAGTGTGGTGATTTCTGGGGAGAGGGGGACAGAAGGGGGACTAAATGGTAATGGAGAAAAATATACAAAGATTAAATTAAAAATTATATATGTGTGTATTTACCCTTTTTAAAACAGAGAATTATAAAGACCCCCCTCCCCAAATGCCATTTTCCCTTCAATCCAGTTGTTATAAAAAATGAAAAGTGAAGAAGACACACAGACGGTCAGCAGGTACATAAAAAAGATGCTCAACATCACCGATCAGGGAAATGCGAGTGCAAACCACAGTGCGGCGGCACCTCACACCTGTGAGGACGGCGATCACCAAGAGGAAGTGAGTGCTCTGTTGTGTGCAAGGTGAGGACACAGAGGAGAGGAACTTCCGTGCACTCTTGGGAATGTAAATTCGTGCAGCCACAGAATAGAAAAGTGTGAAGCTTCCTCAAGTATTAAAAATAGAGTTGCCATATCACCCAGAAATTCTACTTTTGGGTATTTACTGGAAGAAAAGGAAAACATCGATTTGAAAAGACATACACACCCCCATGTTCACTGCAGCATTAATTTGCAACAGCCAAGATGTGGAAACAACCCAAGTGGCCATCAGTGGGCGAGTGGGTAAAGAAAAGGTGGTGTAGAAGTCGTGGGATATTATTCAGCCATAATAAATAACGAAATCTTGCCATTTGCTACAATGTGGATGGATCTGTAGGATGGTCCGTTATGCTAAGTGAAATTAGGCAGAGAAAGAGAAATACCGTATCATCTCACTTACACATGCAGAATATGACAAACCCCCAAACTCATGTGTCTGGAGAACAGACTGGTGGTTGCCGGAGGCTGGCGGTAGGGGGTGGGCGAAATGGGGGAAAGGCGTCAAAAGGTACAAACTTCCAGGTCAAAAATAAGTGAGTCACAGGGATGTGAGGGGCTGCCTGGTGACTGCAGTTTACAGTATTTGTAGCGCATGTTCAAAAGTTGCTAAGAGAGTATATCTGAAAAGTGCTCACCACAAGAAAAAAATACGTGTAACTGTGGGCAGTGATGTTACCTAGACTCACTGTGGTGATCATGTTGCGGCATATACAAATTCCAAATCACTACGCTGTACACTTGAGGGTAACTTGTTACAAGTCAAATTATAACTCAACTTAAGAAAAGAAAGAAAATGGAGTTGCTTCCTTGACAACATCAGATTCTTAGGGCCCGGACTCCTCATCGGCGCTGCTTCCAGTGAAGAGGAAACTCGTGCCTGTGCCCGTCATCTGAGAGCAGGATGAGCGGGTAGTAGATATTCTATCGACACCAATGAAAACAACAAAAGCAGTGCCTTTCCACATGTGGGCAGTAGCTAAAGAAGAAACGCGTGTTCGAGTTTAGGAAATTCAAACACTATAAAGACATGAAGAATGAAAAGCAAAAACTTCCACGCCTAGTCTAACACTCCAAAGGTCATCGCTATTAACACTACTTTGGGAGTCCACCCATAGAAGATTTTTTTATTTTTGTACCATCACCTGTCTATCTACTGGATTCTACAAAATCTGAACCAATGGAATTATCCTATCCATATTATCCTGCACTTCCCTTTTTTCCCACTTATAGTGTTTTGGAGCTCACCACAGATCATCATTCTTTTAGATAACTATTAAATAAGTTAATGTTTGTAATGCAGTAGAGTAATGCTTGGTGTGTAACAAGCATTACATATTTGTGACATGAATGAATGGAAATTGCCATGTGGCATTCCATTATCTGAATATACCTTACTTGTACTATTTATGGACACTTCTGTTACCAGCTGCGGTAACAGACGATGTAGAAATGACATCCTTGTACCTACACCTTGGGGACTCTGCGCTGGTCATCAGTACCACAGTTCCGTAGTCAGTGTGCAAATCAGTCCGTCAGTGTGGTAACCAGTACCTTCCTTAGGGTGGCAACAGTGGGCGTGGAGCCGAAGGGAATAGAAAGAAAAAGTGACAGGGAAAAGCGGGAACTGGGACTAGAACTGGGAATTTTGCTTAGGCCTAGACTCACAGGATTAAAGGTCTTTAGCTGTAGGAGGAGCCTGTTCGTTCCAGGCTCTGGGCAAGGGCTGCATTACGGCTGCGGTTCCCGAGCTGTGTCTGAGTCCTGGGGAGCCACAGGGGACTCACTGGAAAAGCGAGTATGGGGGCTGCAAGGTGATTAACATTTAAAAAAACACTTTTTATTGATTTTTAGAGCGAGGGAGTGATCGACGTAAGAAAGAAACACCAATCAGTTGCACCCCATAGGCACCCTGACTGGGGATTGAACCCCCAACCCTTTGGCATATGGGAGGACACTCCAGCCAACTGGGCCATGCTGGCCAGAGCAGGGCCTTTAGCATCCCTGACAGGAACAGTGACGTTTGACATCTCTCAGACACTGCATAAGCCACGGGCTAAGGACAGTTTGCAGTCTAACCCTGACCTCACTACATTCCTTGTGACGATGGCATGCTTTGTGGAGCCGAGGCTTCGGTGGTGGCCGTGATGCTGCATGTACCGCGTGGCACGCATGTGGCACAGGAAGGAAGCACCCATCGTCCGATCGGACTCCGACGTTTCAAAAGTTGTACAGCGCCCAGTCAGTGCACACACCCCATTTGTCGGCGACCAGTTAAGAATGAAAAACATATTTTTCTTTTAATTTGTGTCTATTATATTTTTCAGACAGCTGCTAATTAGGACACAAACCCTTATTAAGTTGTTTGAACCAACTATGGAATACATGGAACTGCTAGGTATTTCTTTTGGCCTGCTGTGCTATTAAGAAATGACTGGAACACTATGGGTGCCGTGCAGGGGGGAAGTTTGGGAACAACTGACTTACGTACTTTACCCATCGGGACTCTAGTAGCTGCAAGTGAGAGAAACCAGACTGGCTCTGCTTAAGCAAAGTCAGAAATCGGCTTATTCTCTGGGATGTCCTGGCTTGCACATGGCGTCAGGCTGAGCCAGGTCCATGTGCCCGAATGAAGTAACAAGGCTCTGAATCTCTTTTATCTCTGGGATGGGCTCTCCATATATGGGCCAGAGAGCCCGTCACCATCAGTTCTGGACTCATACCCTTACAGCAGAAAGAGGCATCTTTCCTGGTGGTTTGTGCAGAGAAGCCGTGGGGGGACTTTGGTCCATCTAGCTGGGGTTGCTCACCTGTCCCTGAATCGAGCCATGGAGATTTGTCATGGGCAAACCTAAGTGACGTATTCATCCCTGCGCTCAGGAGAATGCCCTATGACACGGAGTAGGTAGGTTCTTCACAGAAAAGAAGGGGTTCTGTTACCAGGAGAATTGGAGAAGGGGGACAGGACTGGAAGCAATGAGTCTCCCCTTTTATAGGAAGGGCAATAGATGGTAATACGGTAGTTTTAATAGTCCAACACGGAGGCTCTGGAGTCCCACCCATCTAGCTTCACTTCCTTGGGCAAATTAGCTACATCTACATCTTTTCAGGTTTTAGAGTCCCCATCTCTGAAATGGGAATAACTGAAGATAAAGGCCAAGAAATAAAAAGCCCCAACAAAAGTCCTTACCTCTAGGGTTGGCGTTTGAAGTGAGTTAGTACAGATGAGTGCCTAGCACCGCGCCTGCCACTCAGGAAGCCTCAGTAGGTGAGGCCACTGTTGTTATCGATCGAGCATCCTTAAAGGTCACACAGCCCGGAAGTGGCCCCGGCTTCCGGCTCCTGGACCAGGTTTTCCCCCCAACGGGGAGGCAGGGAGAGGGGGCGGCACAGTGATTTCCGCTTTCCTGTCTGTTGCAGAGCGAAACAGCATGGACGCAGCCAGCCAGGTCCCTGCGGAAGTCGAGCTCCCCAAGCACATCCTGGACATCTGGGTCATTGTCCTCGTCATCCTGGCCACCATTGTCATCATGACCTCCTTGCTGCTGTGCCCGGCCACTGCAGTCATCATCTATCGCATGCGGGCGCATCCTGTCCTCAATGGGGCCGTCTGAGGTCTTCCCAAGAGGGGCAGGGGAGGGGTGAGGGCAGCGTCCCCTCCCCTGGACTCTTCCCTCCTCAGAACAGCAGCAGGAGGGAGTCTGGAGTATAGATTCTGGAGCTTGGTGTGTGAGGGGAGGCCCAAGTTCCGTTTTGGTTCTGCCACTGGCCAGCTGTGTGAGTTCCGCCAGGGGACCTGATTCCATGAGTTCCAAGGCCCTCATCTTCCAGATGGAGGATTGCGACCCCTGCCCTTCCTACCTCCGAGGGTCGTGAGAACCGAGGACCTGGGGGAGGTTCCAGCTGTCTGAGAGCAGACACTCAGAGGGTACTGCTGAGTGTCCAGAAGCCCTGAAGAACCAAAGAACCTGACTGCTGCTGCTGGCCTTCAAGGTGGCCAGGGGAGACGCTGGGCGCAGAGTGGCCTTTGTCGGTGCCCCTCCCGTCAAACCAAGCGAAGGCACCCTGTCCTCGTCCCAAGGGGCCATCAGCACACTGGCTCAAAGTTATTTCCTTTGAGGTGCCATTCCCTCGAGTTTTCTGATTTGGGCGGAAATTGATCATGCGGGGGAGGAGATGGGTAGAACTTTCCAGGACCTTCTCTGTGCCAGAGTCTGCCCACGTGCAGTCTGGAGGAGGGCTCTGCCATTTCTTGGCAATGCCGAGGGAGCTGGGCAGCTCTGTCATTCTGCTCTGGACTGGCAGAGCTTTGGCACTCTAGTAATGTTGGAAAACGCTGAGTGGCTGAGCTCCCCGGCCAGCTTTCAGGGTCTCCAGCCCCCTCTGCTTGTGTGCCCCACACCGGGGAGCTCTGTCCCTCTGCCCCAGCTCCTGCCATGATTCACTCCATGGTATCGCGTGTACGCCCTTCACTCCCTCCCACCAGCACTGCAACCGATCCAAGGTACAGACTTACAGTGTGAGAAGTGTTCCCAGGATTTTTGAAACTAACTCAAAACAATGATGGCTCTTTAGATGCTATGGCTTATATTTATATAGAGGGATTTCTGGACCACTCAAGCTCTTTGACCCAAACCAGGAGCATCCTGGGGTCTATTAAATTATATAAGAAGATAGCACAGGTATCTGGACATCACAGTGTGTAAATGATGCTTTTACGCCGACATGATCTCATTGATGTACACAACCAGTTAACAATAAAGTGCTGGAACGAGCACGTCTGGGGCCTTTCTCTACAGAGTACATATCAAACCCAGGAACTCAGGTCACAGGTCTCCACTGAATTCATGGGTCTGAGAGACCGTTTGGATGTCGGAACAAAGAGAAAGACAACAATCGAGTTGACCTCCAGGGTTCTGGCTTCAGCAAGCGGGCGAATACTTGTGCAACCCACACAGACAAGGCAGGGAGAAGAACGGGTTTTGGAAGGAGAAACGAAGTTAGTACTAGGACGTGTTGAGCTTGGGGTGCCTCGGGGAGACACTCAGGGTTCAGTTGGGAACTGGGTCTGTTCGTTGGGAGGCATCTCATGGCAGGAGGCATGTTTGGGGGGGTCATCCACATATGGTAGCCATGGCGAACGTGGACAGGATCACCCAGGCAGGCTGAGAGGAGTGAGGTGTAAATGCGGAACTTGGAGTCCACTGGGTAGGGGTGAGAGGGGAAGAGAAGAAAGCACAGCAAGAGGACTGAGCAGGTCACGTGGTGAGAGGCAGTCAGAGGGGTGCGATCGTGCTCCGGGAGCTGAGGAGCGAGGGGGAGAGCTTAGGAAGTGGACACGGTGGGACAGACGACTCTTTCCAGGAACAGGACTGTCCTGTGGGGGTAAGAAGGAGAGGGTATCAGGAAAAGAGGTGGAGGGTACGTACGAAATGTAAACGCGGGGGCTGGCATAACGCGGCGTGTACTGATGCACAGCGAACTTCTTGTTATGAGTAGAAAGTAACTCAGGCTCCAGACCCTTCATCCTCTTCATAGACACACCGGTGCAACGACACACAGGCCAGGCCCATTTCCGAGAAATTCTAAGGTCAGTTTTGAGGCTCCTGTACCCATGTGAGTGCAAACCCAACTGTACAGGAGCCGGTTGGCACACCCGTGGCACCCTCTTGCCTTAATCCCTCCCACAGCACACGATTAAAAGCTCCTCCCAGGGAGGAGAGGACAGGATTGGACTGTCCACCCCACGTCTGACTTGCTCAGGGGGCTGCCCGACTCTAAGCACAGACAGGAAAGGACCCCAGGTGGGAGTCACTAAGAACTGAAGCAGCAGTTTCAACTAATATACACTCATATTTTGGCTAACAATACATTTAGGCCTTTATTTTTTTTTAAAGATTTTATTTATTTATCTTTAGAGGGGAAGGGAAGGAGAGGGGGAAAGAAATATCAATGTGTGGTTGCCTCTCGTGTGTCCCCTGCTGGGAACTGGCCTGCAACCCAGGCATGTGCCCTGCCTGGGAATTAAACTGAGATCCTTTGGTTCATAGGCCCGCGCTCAATCCACTGAGCTACACCAGCCAGGGCTCTTACTGTAATTTTAATCTAAGTTCTGAAGTCACTGATAATCCATGCCGGTTTTCTACAAGTGAGTGTGTTTGTCCTAGGGACATGCCAGTCACACAGCCCAGTGTCCGGCTAACAGGACGGGTATAGGTAAAGAACTTCATTGTGTGGCCGCTGTCTGGACAGTTTAACCTCGATTTTCTTCCACACAATAACACAATAGGAAAGAACATAAAGGCAGCAGAAGTAGTCATGGACACCAGTCAGTTTGGACCTTCAGTCATATTTCTGGTGACACCCAGCGGAGGCACCTGCCCTACACATTGAGAAGACAGGACAGTCGCTAGGAAAGAAGGTAATTTATACTATATGGGTTTTTTAAAGTATAATGCTTGCAAGTCATTTCTATAGCGTGCATTTTTAATTGATTTTTAGAAACAAAGAGAAACATCAATTTGTTGTTTCACCAATCTATACATTCATTGGTTGATTCCTGTATGTGCCCTGACTGGGTATTGAACTCCCAATCCCAGTGTATGGGGATGATGCACCAACCAGCTGAGCTACCCAGCTGGGGCCACAATGTGCATTTCTGAGGCAATTGTGATACTGGTCTGTGGTTGTTGGTGTCCTCTGTTGTTAAATTCAAAAAGAGCTTGTTAAAGTTTATTTATTTATTTACTTTTACCAATTCAAAGTATCTATTTTGAATTCAAATTTTTTATGACACTGCAAAAAACCTAAGTTCTGGAGGGGAGAGCAGACGTGCCGTGCCGTGCATGGCACCAGAGAGCAGAGCTGACCCGGGTCCCTGGGGGTGCATTTCCCTTAAAGAACTTTCGGGTCCACAGTTCCCTACCGGCAGCTTCCGTAGGCAGTGTTCTAGAGGGCTGGGGTTAACCACAGTGCGTGATGCTCTAAAGGTCAGGCGTGGACAGGGGGTGAGGAGCCAGAACTAGGGAAGCTCTGAGTCCCTTGCAGCTCTCAGCTTTGATTCCGGCCTCTCAGAACACACCTTGATTTCCTAAATTCCTTCTGCAGTGATATCTGGGACAGACGGCTGGCGCTCCATTGACAAAAAGAGCCACACCGCCCTCTGGTGACCATTACAATGATTCTTTCTAAAAATTTTTAAATTTAACCTTTATTATTTGTTCCTTTTCATTGACTTTATTGTGATGGCACTGGTTCACAAAACTGTGCAGGTTTCAGGTGCACACTTCTGCAACGTGTCATTGGTACACTGTATTGTGTGTTCACCACCCCGAGTCGAACCCCTGTCCAATTATTGTTTTTTATTTATTGGTTCCCAATTATTGGGGGAAAAGCTCACTAAAATCCATCAGTAATTAATAAAAATTAACAGAATTTTCCTAAAGTTTTTAACATGTTTTCCCTCCAGTGCATTTTTTTATCACCCCCCCCCCCAAAAAAAAAAGACCTACTTTGTCCTGCTTTTCCTTTTGGTAAGTAACAGATTTTTGCATCTGTATCCCTGTCTGGTTATCTGATGATTTATTGGCAATAAGTTCCTAAGAAAAGATCAAAGATGCTTGCTTAATTTTAAAGCTTTTGACATGCATTTTCCAATCACCCTTCCAGAGAACAGAAAAAGATGATACATTTCCACTTTGTTTTATAAGGGCAGCATGACTTCGACGCCTAAACCCGAGGAGGACATTAGAAGAAACGAGAATTATGGGGTACCATGTTAGCAAGCTGCATCAGTTTCTCTCTCTATGTCCATCTATCTATTTAATGGTATATTATATTTCAACCACATTGTTTATTTTCATAATGCAAGGTTGATTAATGTGTAAAAATAAGCTGTTGACGACCACCACACTGTGAGACACGGAGGACAGATATATGACCATCTCAGTGGGTGCAGAAAGTGCAGTGGTGAAGGACTGGGCGGCAGTGTTTATTTGGAAGATGACCCTGGGAAACACAAGGGGGGAAACTGGGAGAGTGAGACAGAGGCAGAAGAAAAGCTGGGGGGGGGGGATGCATCAATGAGGAACCGGACAAGCTCGCTAGGGACCCTCCATGATGCTGAGAAAAGTGCCTCAGAATCACTCTCCCAGATGACAAGGGGCTGGGCCTTTGTCTTTTTTAAATCCACTCACTGTCTGTGCGCTTCTGGGTGCTCCTCCGGGCAGCTGAGCGAGTTCCCCTGGTGCTGGGGAAAGCTCTCCGGCGGTCACTGCTGACCGGTGGGCAGACGGGCCAAGGAGATGCGGGCAGGTGTCCACGGCGTCGCTACAGCGTCCCAGAGGACAACTGAAGAGACGGGAAAAGTCACCCACAAAAGGGCGGTGACGTTTTTTAGAACCAACTGGCTTTTCTTTGTCAAAAATAAATACAAGTATTGATCAAAACGATCAGGAAACACTGATGCAGAAAGTGGTGGGGGTAGCAGATGCAGCTTCTGTACTTTTTGGTCAGGGAAGCTATGGAAATGTATTGGCTTTAGAAATTATGCTTATGTTTAATAATAGGTAACATTAATATGGAACATATTATATAAGCATTACTATGAAGTGTTTATTGCCTGTGATTTTTAGGCCAGTTTTTCAGGGGACCTGTGGAGAGGCCCGTGGAGGGAGGGCACAGCCAGGGTTTAGGTCTTGCTTCAGCCAGCCTGTCCTGCATCTCCCAGAGGCTTGAATGGGAGGCGCTGAGAGCTCTGCCTCAGCGTGGTGGGCTCCAGTCCCAGCTCTGCTGGCCACAGCTGGCTGACCATTTCCTCCAGGAGCCTCCTTTCCCCATGTACGGAACCATAAAAAACCTGGACTAGCCAAAGCAATCTTGAGAGAGAACAAAGCTGGAGGCATTGTCCCTGAGTTCAAACTATATTATGATCCATATTACAATACCATCAAAACAGTACAGTACTGGCATAAAAACAGCACACAGATCAATGTGACAGAGTAGAGAGCCCCCAAATAAAAACAAAACTGGACCACTAACTTACACCACACAGAAAAATGAGTTCAAAATGGATTAAAGAGTTGAATGTTAGACCAGAAACCATAAAACTCCTAGAAGAAAACATAGGTGGTGAGTTCCTTGACATTGATCTTGGCCATGATTTTTGGCCTAAGTCATCTTTTCAGCCTTTCTTGGTGTATTTGATGGGGCTGATCACTTCCCCCTGCTAGACACTATTGGCACCCACGATAACGTACTCTCCTGGTTTCCTTATTTCCTCAACTGGGTCCATTTTTCCTCCCCTGTCTCTGGTGAGCTCACCCATCTCCTGGTTGAGGACTCCCCAATTCTACCACCACCAACAGAAGCTTCAGAGCCATAGCCAAACATCTGTACAGTTGGCTACCTCCAGCTGATGACCCTTTGCATCTTGAAATCAACATGTCCTGAACTGAACTCAGTCCTTGCCCCACAAACCCGGTCTTCCCATTCTCTGGCTTGGTTGGTTGTAATACCGTCGATCCCCATGTCTTGTTGATTGAAGCCCTTCACGCTTCTTGAGCACGGCACCTCGTCTACCCCCAAAGATCACCACCCCACACCAGGTCACTTGTCCACACTGTGGCAACAGCCTCCTAACCGGTCAGATTCCACAGATGTTCCTCTTAAAGTCATTTTTCAAGACACTACTGCAACCCTTTCCCTAAAACCTAAATGTCATTTGTCATCACCCTGCTTTAAACCTCTTGCCTCTAGCAGTCCTCTCTGGCTTGAC